GAAGGTTTTGAAACTGCAAAGGAAAAGGCCCTACAGTTTTTGGAACAAGTTAAAGTAAGCAGAGAGATGGACAGGGAGATACTTACAGATGTGGCCAGAACATCTTTGCGCACTAAAGTTCACGCGGAACTTGCAGATGTCCTAACAGAGGCTGTGGTAGATTCCATTTTGGCCATTAGGAGAAAAGATGAACCTATTGACCTGTTCATGGTTGAGATCATGGAGATGAAGCATAAGTCGGAAACTGATACAAGCTTAATCAGGGGGCTTGTTTTGGACCATGGGGCACGGCACCCTGATATGAAAAAAAGAGTGGAAAATGCATACATCCTCACATGCAATGTCTCCTTGGAATATGAGAAAACAGAAGTGAACTCTGGCTTTTTCTACAAGAGTGCAGAAGAAAGAGAAAAGCTAGTAAAAGCCGAAAGGAAATTCATTGAAGATAGAGTTAAAAAAAATAGTGGAACTGAAAAAGAAGGTCTGTGGTGATTCAGATAGAGGATTTGTTGTTATTAATCAAAAGGGGATTGATCCCTTCTCCTTGGATTCTCTTGCAAAAGAAGGCATCGTAGCTCTGCGTCGGGCGAAGAGGAGAAACATGGAGAGGCTGACTCTTGCTTGTGGTGGGGTAGCTCTCAATTCCTTGGATGAGCTAACTCCTGACTGTTTGGGACATGCAGGACTGGTTTATGAGTATACTTTGGGAGAAGAGAAATTCACCTTTATTGAGAAATGCAACAATCCCCGCTCTGTCACATTATTGATCAAAGGACCAAATAAGCACACCCTCACTCAAATCAAGGATGCAATAAGAGATGGTTTGAGGGCTGTCAAAAATGCTATCGATGATGGCTGCGTGGTTCCAGGCGCTGGTGCAGTGGAAGTGGCAATGGCAGAAGCACTGGTGAAACACAAGGCCAGCGTGAAGGGTCGGGCCCAGCTCGGAGTCCAGGCGTTTGCCGATGCCTTGCTCATCATTCCCAAGGTCCTTGCTCAGAACTCTGGCTTTGATCTTCAGGAAACATTAGTTAAAGTTCAAGCGGAACATGCCCAGTCAGGTCAACTTGTGGGTGTGGACTTGAACACAGGTGAGCCAATGGTAGCAGCAGAAGCGGGCGTGTGGGATAACTACTGTGTGAAGAAACAGCTGCTTCACTCCTGCACTGTGATTGCCAGCATTATCCTCCTGGTCGACGAGATCATGCGGGCTGGAATGTCCTCTCTCAAAGGCTGAGGGGAAGCTTCCTGTATCATACGAATCCTGAAGACTGCGGAATGATCCTGAGGAGTAGAGTTGTGGAATTTTTGTTCAAGCTTCAAGTGATTTTCAGAGGAATTTTCTTTTCCCACATGAAAAAAAGAGAACACTTGGCAACTATTCAAATTATGATGTGGAATTCTAACTACAGTATTTTCTGGTTGCACTGTGTACACACGTGAAGCAGGTCCTTTGTAATCAGAGAAGAGGTGGCTTTGCTTTAGCTGCATTAACGTAAGGTTAATAATTGTTTATTAAATGTTCCTTGAAAAACAATTTTAATGGTTAAATAATTCCCTGTGGATATGTTTTAAATTAAGCAGCAATTCTCTGTTAAATATTTGAATAATTTAAAAATTTGGATGCACCTGTCACCTTAGTGTAAATTTCTAAGTAAAATCACTTGGACTTCTAAAAAAAAAAAAAAAAAAAGAAAGAAAGGAAGGCAGAGAAAAAGGAAGAAAGAAAGGAAGAAATTATTTTAACTAAAACTTCATCGTTGTCTTTTTCAGTTGTGTGACTACCGCATTGGGCGGCTCCGTTGTGCAATGTGTACTTTTCTGCTTGGTTGTCAAGTACAAAGACTTTCAGAGCCTCTGAAATCAGACCACTAAAACTGTTACTTTTAAGAACCTAACATAGAGCCCAGCCCTTACTTAGTTCTAGGAACCACACAGACTATAGAAACACTGGGGCACTCTTCACAGTGCACACAGGAAAGGGATTTGGATTTGACAAGAATAGAAAACCAAAGAAGAGCAGATTAGATGGATCAACAGTCTTCTTTCATTGCAAACAAAAGCCAAGAACACTTCTCTGATTAATAAGGGCAACTACCTGAAACCAGAGATTAAGGAAATAGAGACTTTTTCTAAAGCAAGAAAAAGGAATCCTTCAAGAGACCTGCTATTGAGCTAGAGTATCTAATCTTTCAGGAAATAAAAACGAATAAACAGATTTGGAACTTGGCTCACCTGCCTGAAGAACAAAGAAAGTTTTCAGAAGTTGTGGTTAAAAGCCATCATTTGGGACATTTTATCCTACCATGAGTGGATCTTAGGAAAGTGTATTGTAAAGTATTGAGAACTGGGAAAAACATGCTCTGGCCAAATGTCCTTCAGTTTACTAAAAGAAAATTTAAAAATAAAAAGAAAGCCTAGTCCTAAGTGCTTACTAAACTGATGGATATTTATCCTGAATTTATATCATTTCAAATTGGCAGTATATTTTCCTTGGTAACCATATTACATTTGGGCTACTTTCCACTATTCTTATCTAAGAATGAATTGGAAATATTTAAATCTGAAATCAAGTCACAGTTGTTAATTTATGAAAATTAATACCACCTTCATACATCTCTAAACTGATTTAACTAATGTATTTATTCAATGAAAAGAAAAGGTGGATGCCAGTTAGTGATTTACTACAGAAACATACCATAAGATTAAGTTTCGAATAAGCCTTAATATAAAACCAAGAGTGGGGGTGAGGGAGAATAGGCTGGTAGTTTCGCACCTCACCCACACAGTGTCACTACATAATTTGTGTCAGTTAACATTTAACATCAACCAGAAACCAAGCCACTCCCTTAACTACAAATCAAACTGCTATTCTCTCTCTCTCTCTCTCTCTCTCTCTCTCTCTCTCTCTCTCTGCCAAATAACCCCATAAGTAAGATTTCTACTAAGGCAAATAAGTGCGATGTTGGCTAAAAGCTATTTATAGAGACCCCAGTGGGGCATATGGCTTACCCCAGATACTTCCCTCAGGACTGTCAGAGAGCTGAGCTGTTGTCCACTCCACCTCCCAAGCATTTCTTAAGGACTTCTGAGTCATCTGATCTGTGAATACATCATTTGATTTTGTTACACAGAGACAGAAATTGTTGTATTCTTCTCTTACGAAGAATCAAACACTACTCACTAGAAGTTATGTGTTATTTACATACTCATAAAATGTCATTGCTGTTGGTGTAGCTCGAAACACTTCTACTTGCTCCAGTTGACTCAACACATTTATTAAGTACTACTTTTGCCATACCAGAAGCTGAGGATGCGGAGATGACTATGAGAATAGAATATTTGTCTATTGAGGCATAGTAACTCAGAGAGGGGAAAGAAGAATGAAGTAACTTAAAAGCAGAGTACCTGACTTTTTGTTAGAAAACATATCTATCTTTTCATATATCTAAGTTAAGAATTGTTCATAGAATATAATATTCAATAAATATGGGGTGAATAAACACATATAGACTTCAAAATAGTATTCAATAAGTGATGGTAGGTTTTAGGCTAAATTAGGGACACTTAGGATAAAAAGAAGACAGTGAAAACAGAGGTGAGAAAGATTAGTGACAGCCACAGACGAGTGCGAAGATGTATAAAAGGCAGAGCTCATTCACCATGTGGTGGATCCCCCGCGAGAGCTACCAACAAACATTTAACACATTTTCTAGTGCTTTTTCTGTCCATGTTTTAATACCAAGTATGAATCATGTTAATAAAGCCTGAATTTAGATTCATTGGAAAATTGGGAATTGAAACCAATTTTGCATTTTATTGTTCAACAAATGCACTGATCAGGGTTGGCGAGAGAGCTCAGTGGACTAAGCACCTGCTTAGGCAAGCGCAGGGACTGGGGTTCAATCCCCGGCATGACATGCCATGTCAGCCCCACCCCCAGGTGCACTGAGTGGACACTGAGATTGGCGTGGTGGCCCACGCCGATCATCCCAGCGCTGGCAAGGATCATTACCAGGCTGAGCTGAATAGTGAAACTCTGTATCAAATACACACACACACACACACACACACACACACACACATAAGTCCAAATTCATGTAAAGAGGACCTTAATATGGATTTGGACAGCAAGTGGAGACATCACCCCAAAGAAGAGAGGGGACTCTGCTCACCTCATGGAACAGGTTCTTGACTGACACACAGTGAAATTGCAGGCATCACCAGTGAGAGACACAGATGGGTTATTACACAAACTCGAAGCCCACACTCAGGAAGGAGTGGGCAGTGCAGGGGGAGAGCCCCGGGGGTCTTGAGTGGGATGCGCTAGCAGGCATCCCCACACCTGGTCTAGGGTACTGATTTGTCTGAGGTGTTTACCTTTCACTGGTGTGAGTTTCCTTAAGACTAAGTTGCTCATTCATGGGTTAGAGCAAAAACTTTCTTTATCAACTAGGATAAAAAGCAAACTGCTTATTTTTGTAAGTTTGGTGATGGAACATCCACTTAATGGTGTCTTTCTTTGAATGTGGAGTCCTTAAGATTTATAGATTTGTAGTAACACAGAAGCACAGGCCTAATTTATTGACTTACCAGATTGGTAAGAGCCTTAGGAAAATAAGAGAACACTGGAAGTAAAACAGGTGCGAGAGTAAAAAGAAGGCATTGTGGCCTTAGTAACTTTGCATCCTGGAGCTTTAATTTTCTTAAAAGTATAATTTTAAAATTACAACTTCATAGTCTCCTTTCTACATATCTTGATTTCTTTTTTAAAAAAATTAATTTTATTGAGAAACTAATAGCAATGAGACAGTTTCAAAACCAATTAGTGGAACAGTTTCAATAATTAATATATTGCATATTGTTTTCTTCTTAGGGGTTATTCATAGTACAAGATGCAGACATGATATCCTGTCCAAACACTATTAATACAAATCTTCTCATTGATTTAAGAGAAAGTAGCTGTATATCTATTTTAACTATTTTGTATGTAGAGATACAAAATAGTTCTTCATTTGTATCCCTCTTTTTTTTGTTTAGTTTTGACAGAGAAGGGTATTCCCTTGCTATTTAAATTTTGTAGGTACGTGAATTCAGCAAAATAATCCAATATAGTCAGTAATCCATAATAGTAGTGGGTTATGTGTAGGACTGGCAATGTCAGAAGTTGTTGACTTGAGCCTTTTACAGCTCAGCATATTAAAATGGCTCTACTTTTTATACCTTGTTTTTATACTTTTCTGCTAGATGGTTAGGACCAAGATAAAGCAAGACCTATATAACAAGAAATGTAACTTTTGTATCTGACAAAGTCAATCAAATCCCCTCAGGATTTATCCTGAAACCCTATACTGCAGTTTGTAGATCCTTTGTCAGTGTTAGCCATGTGGATGAGTCACAGCCATTGCTTGACCAATTTGCTGTCTATGAAAGCCTGAGAAAATATTTTCTTTCCATGTGACTCTCCTTAGGCGCACTATACATCGTCAATCACTTTCCTCTGTGGCCCCAAAATCCCCTTGATCAGAAAATTTGGGACACAGCTGAGTTACAGGATGTTACCGTACAGGTTCTCCTATGTCCTGAGTCCTCACTGACCTTTAAAGGCTAGGGCCAAAATGTTGGCTATCCTTGAAGCCCTTCTTTTTCTCTAATTTTTGGTCTGCAAATTTAAGTTGTTGACCCTCCAGAAGAGAAGCTTAATGATATTATTACCCTATAACAGAGCAGTTGAGCTTAACCTCACTATCTGTCTGAATATCAGACATCTTAGACATAACATGAAACAGGTATTTTCCATCAAGTATTGATATGTTAAATTTTAATTCCCTATAGAATGTGAAGAAAAAAATACTTAAAAAATAGGAATAAACTATTACATATTTTTACACAGAAATTTAGAGATCTAACCATATATAGCATTGTAGCAGGACAGTCCTATAACATTATTTTTCTTGTCTCTTGTTTTCATTTATTACCCTTTTTTTAAAAAAAAAATTACTTGAAAGACAGTATGGCAGTAATTGGTATGACATGATAAGCAGTACGTATTTAGATGACCAGAATGACAGGCATTCCAAGCATGACCCTACTATTACACATTGTTGTCTTCAGTGCAGTTGCTTAGTTCACAGGTGTCAGCATACACAGTTAGTCAGGGTGAGAATCCTGCCAATTAACTGCAAGTTTCAAAAACCTGCTGAAGATTCTCAGGATCATTGCCTTAACCATCTTGTGCATATAAATGTATGGCTTTGTGCCTGTCATGTTTCCTGGCTTTTCTCCTTGCCCTCTCTTCGTTGTTTAATCCTTAAGTTCTTGATTTCCTTTTAATTGTGTTATATACCTTTCTATTTTTATTTTTTGAGGTCTTACACTAGAAGACTATATGATATTTTCACATGTTGGTATGGTTTATTTCACTTATGAGTGTATATCTTGATTTCTTCTACCTTATAAGAAAATATTACTGCTTCTTTTCTTATAAACTTTATGCATCAAAATCTTAAAATGGAGCTCAAAGTACAGTACATTTCTATGTTTTGTCTGATTTCCTTTGGAGATAGTTTTCTAACTGAGATGGAGGAGAAGATTTATTATTTTGGCTTCAGCACAATTAGGCACTATGTGGCAACCACCTGTATATTTTACGGCTTCTTTTTAAAAAG